GGGGGATGTGCAGGAGGCAGCTGATCGATGTTTCTCTCTCATCGATGTTTCTAACTCTCTATCTCTCTCTCTTCCTCTCTGTAAAAAAAAAAAAAATCAAAAAAAGAAAAAAGAAAATTGTCAATAAAATGTTTGGTGGTGAGGATGTTATTGCTGCTGCTATGTGGGGGATTTGGCAAAGTTAGGACTGTGGACTTATTCCTCTACTGTTATTATTATTTACTTTTTACCATAGTAAAAAACACATAACCTTCTTAATCCCTACTGTTATTTTCCAGGCAGAATTTTCAGAGCTCAACCTGGTGGCCCATGCAGATGGGACCTGTGCAGTGGATATGCAGGTACTCCGGAGTGGCACAAAGGTTGTCCGGTAAGGTCCTTTCTCTCCTCGGGGTTACTGTCACTGTCTCCAGAATTACCTTCTCTGGCTTGCAGAGGCAGTTTCAAAATCAAGTGTTGGAGTGGGATAATATTACTATGTATAGTGTGTAAACTTAATGGTGTGTGCTGTGCAGAAGCGGTACAGGAAGTCAGAGGAAACCAGCTCCTGCCTCAGGGAGCTCTTAGTCCAATGGTAGAGAAAGCTTCATGGACTAAGAGCTTACTTAGAGGTAACTGGATTCCTGTTAGAGGGATTCCAGGACTCCAGCCCCACTTCAACCAGTACAGCCATGCGCTTTTATCTCTGCATATATTTTCCCTGGAAATCAGGACTCTATTGCTTAAAAATAAAGTTTGAAAACCTCTGATGTAGTTCAGCCTCTTATTTTACATTGATTTGCTTAGATTGACTCAGTGAGTTGTTAGCAGAGCCCTGTGTTCTATGTGCATTCTCTTAACTCCAAGTCCTGTGTTATTTCTATATTCTTCATCCCTGGGAACTCATAACTCTAATAGAAAAGCCTAGAGTCAGAAAGGACATTATGGGTGGAATAAAAATATCAATTACAGAGCACTTACATGCCAGATAGTGCCATGGGCACTTATAGATGTGATCAAACATAATACAACATTTCTGTGAGGGAGGTGATGAGAATTCCAGATTGGGAAAATGATTTCAAACAGTATTATTCTTACCCAGGGCTCGATGTGGCTTCCGGTTTTCAGATGTGTGAGTCTTGCTCCAGGAAGAGTCTTCACTTCACTCTCTTCCCTATACCAATCTGCAGTACCCTGACACTGATGCCTCCAGTGTCCAATAGGAACTGGGTCAGTGACAGCACAGGCAAAACTCAGGTGTCTGGAACCTAACAACAGGAAATGTGAGCTTGTCCATCCTGAGTTCATTCATCCTGGAGACTAAGGAGGACAGAAAAAGAGATAGATGTCTGTCCATACGGGAGTGAGATTGGGGAGATCCTACAAGAGAGATAATAATGGGTTTCTCAAGCTACAGGTAGAGTGAGTCATAAGGGTGCATGCACACAAGCAGGTAGTTACAGGTGCCGGGAGGGATCTGGCAAGAATAAGGCAGGCCCTTCCAGGTACCAGTATAGGATCTCAAGAGCTGGCCACAAATCTAGAGCTCAATTCCTATAACTCAGGTTTAAGATTTGATCTTAGGTACAGCTGAAGCCAGTTTCCCAGAATTGGGGCACTAGGAGGTCAGAGCAGCTCCAGCACTTGATGCTAAGTCTCCTGAGTGACGGGGGAGGGCTCCTTCCATCTCCACTTTAAAAGATTGATCTTTGCGCCGGGGTGGGGCTGTAGTTGTAGGGGGAGGTTGGATAGGTGCCTGGACAGAGAACCAGGTAGATCATTGCATATGGTGTGAAATTGCTGAGTCCTAGAGCCTTGAGGGTGGAAGCTGCCGCGGAATTCAATTTCTGAGAAGATGAGGTTCCTCAGGAGTAAGGGCATGAACATAGGGGCCCTAGTCCTGTAGAGCAACTGTGGTTAAGAGCTTTTCTGGCTAGAGGTGAAATGCAGGGAGCCTTCCCATGCATGGGAACATTCTGTACTCTCAGTGTTTCCTGTAGCTGTTGCTCAACCTCAGTTCTGCAAAAAATATTTGTACCTCTCCCTAGTGTCCGCTTTAGAAGAATAACATTGGGAAGTCTGGCATCTGGTTTCAGCCAGCTTGGACCCTTGCTCTCCTGGGGGCCTGATGAGGGCATTGCCTATTTTAAGGAGCAGCTTTATTGACTCAAAACAGGACAGTGTCTGCTGGGACCCCCTTGGAACACCAATTCTGGAGCCACAAGGAGCTTCAACTTTTATACTACCCCATAGTGATAGGGAAAATTCTTGTTCATTTAAGGTGTGAGGATCTAAAAGTGTTTCTTCCCTCCTGAGGGCATTTGTACCTTATAAAAAGGCAGTGCTTAACCGAGAGGAATAAGGGAATTTTAGAAATATGTTTCTCAGCCCTAGCCGGTTTGGTTTAGTGTTTAAAGGGTTGGCCTGCGGACTGAAGGGTCATGGGTTCGATTCCAGTCAAGGGCACATACTTTGGTTGCAGGCTTCGTCACTGGCCCTGGTTGGGCGCGTGCGGGAGGCAACCATTCAATGTGTCTCTCTCACATTGATGTTTCTCTCTCTGTCTCTCTCCCCCTCCTTTCCACACTCTCTAAAAATCAATGGGAAAAAAATATCCTTGGGCGAGGATTAACAACAACAAAAGGAATATGTTTCTCTTTGAGATATGCCATAATACCTCATTTTTAGTCCATAAAGAATAATAATAATAAAATAAAGTACTTGGACCAGGTGGCCCCTAAAACCCCTTCTCTATCTTGGGCTTTGGAAATGGGAGACAAGGTGATGTACAACCTGAGGTGCTGGTTAATGGCAAACTTGCCTCTACATTTTTACCAGGTCCTTCCGGCCAGATTTTGTGCTCATCCGGCAGCATGCATTTGGCATGGCGGAGAATGAGGACTTCCGCCACCTGATCATTGGCATGCAGTATGCAGGCCTCCCCAGCATCAACTCACTTGAATCCATTTACAACTTCTGTGACAAACCATGGGTGGTAAGTGAGATTCCCTTCCCTCTAGGTAAAAGGGTAGGATCCAGGTCCTATATCTCCCAGTCCCCCAGGAGGGACCACTGGTAAACAAGATGTAGTACTTACCAGTTGAAAGGATATGGGAAGAGCTTCAGCTGGAACATGAGAAGGATAAGCTCTCACAAGAAAACATCATCATCATGGGCTGGGGCACCTTAGCTGCATTTGGACTTTTGGCCTTACAACAAAGTCACACCAAGATTCTGTGCAGAAGCCCTTACAAGTCTGTAAACTCTGCCCTCAGCCATAGGATACAATGATAAAAATAACTGTTTCTGTCTTTGAATGGTCTAACCATTGGAAAGGTCTGAGTCCATTGGGGATCAAGAGGATGGTCCATCTCAAAGGGGTGTTAGTGACAGTCTTACCAAGTGTTTTAACAACCTCAAAATCAGATTTATCTATAAATATATGAATCAGACACTTATATGAGATGTAAGTGCCCTTAGAGATAATCAAATCTCTGCCCTTCATGTAGATAAATGAAAATTAAAAAAGGAAAGTAAGGAGTGTAAAACCACTTACTATATGGTGCCAAATTCTGAGATTTTCCTATTTTAATTTTATTTAATCCTCACAATAACCTTACAAGGAAGATATTATTATCATTATTATCACTTTTTATAGAGAAATGAGACCCAGAGAAGATTAAGTTACTTACCAAAGTTATAGAGCCAGGATTTCTCTAGATTGCACTACCATACACATAAATTAAGTTGCATGTGAGGAAGAAGCTAGTGTTCTCTTCTTTGGCCAGTCTGGAAATCTAGGAGGCAGTGGAAATTTCTGAGCAGAGAGAAAGAGTGAGGCTAGGAGGGAGAGTGACCTATGATGGCTACTGAGATGCACTGGCCTCCCCTCTGATAGCTGGGGCAGCCTAGCTCCTATAACTCTGCTACTCCAGGCTGGTCCTCTCAGAAGGAAATACCTGCCCCTAATCACATTCTTTTCTTATTGTTTTTCAAAACTCAAATTTCAGTTTTCACACACTAGTCTGCTGAGCGTCAAGGCACTGGTGGCTGATTTTGAAGTTCCTGAACCCCAAGCCTCTCCGCCACTCAGGGAACTGGAGGGGATGTTTTAACCAAATAGATCCATTGCCTCTGCTCTTGATCTTTTTTTTTTCTTCACACCTGAACTCACAGTTTTCCTGTTTCCTTGGAAGCCAGCAAGATCTGACAGTATAAGAGAAAAAGCAATGAATGAGGAGTCAAAAGATCTGGGAGCTGTTGTGGTTGAGGAGGGAGGTTGGGTTCCCAACCTCTACTTGTTCAGCCTTTCCCTCTGTGTGGCCTGTGGCATCTGGAATCCTAGTATTATGGGAACAGGCTAAAAGAGTTGTGTGCTTTGAGTGTGTTGCTATTTGTAGAAGAACACATATGAGGCCTTCACCAAACTTCTTTTCTGAGGTCCTCCCCTTTCTACTTAGTCATGTGCCCTTCCTTACTACACATATGCCCTAGTCCTTCCCCCATCCCTTCAATACCTATTAGAATTTGGCTCCCTCATAGTCACACAGGGTGAGTCTGCTATTATCAGCTTTTTCTGGGTGATTTCACTAATCAGCCTTCTGACTAAACATCTCTCTATGCTATGTTTTTGTTTTTGTTTTGTCAACTAGCAATAATAGTAGTACCTGCCACCAGTTTTCTAGCCTGGGTTGTTACAATCTCCTACTATTTGGGGTATCTTATAAAAGCTGGTTCCCTGCTTTATGTTTCAAAACTGTGCCAGAAGCCAGGGAGGGGAGAATCAGAGAGCCTGTGCCTAGGGCTTTGCCCCTCCAGGGATCAGGATCTGGTGAGGGTTCACATTCTTACCCATTCACAATCCCAGCACATTGCTTTTGGCATTGTGTGAGAACAGCAGGGCTTCCTGGCTAGACACCAAGTTCTCCCTTCATTTTTACTCAACAGCTACCATAATAATGGCATTTTATATATTGTCCTCTGCCTGTTTATGGGAGTAGACAAATTTGGTGACTGTGAGGGGAGGGGTCCCCCTGAAATGTGGCTTTGGTTCATATTTTCTTAAATTTCTTTATTGTGGGTATCCTTGGTGTGAGGCCTTAGTTGGTTGGAAAACGTCTATCTTACATCACTGCGTTTTTGAGCACATCTGCTATCTCATAAATTGGTCAGGACAGGCACACTTGGATTTTGGAAATAGAAGTGGACTTATCAATGAAAGGAGCATTCCAGAGAAAGCAAGAACATCTCCATACCATATTACTACACATTTACCTGAAATTCCTGTCACACTTTTTAGGTTTTTTAGAGACACATGCACTAGGGTTGAATTAAATGTTTTATTTCCAGGAGGGATGAGGGCAAATTATTAAATTCAGACTGATCTTGAAGTCCCATTTCTTCCAGAAAGTCTTTCCTGATTCATTGGTTAAGCAGTTTCAATGAACATTATCTTCCTATTTGTTGCCAATATCACCCCCAGGTCCCAAATCCATTCTTTTGTCTATAGATAGAGGAAATAACCCTTATCGAATATTACGTTTGTTTAATTGGTGACTGTGTGCTTGTGACTTAATCTAAGGTTCCAAGAAGGCAGGGGTTAGATGCCAAGCCCAGTATCTTGAGCAGACAGGACTACTGGAGGTAAGGTTGAGAAGGGTAGGGTGAGCTACCAGGGACCCAACTAATGCCTGGGAACTGGCTACCGTTTTAGTCTTGGCTATCCCAGGACTCTGGGAGTGTGCCGTGGGGCTTTCTGGCATCAGTGTGGTGCCTGTGTAACTCTCCCACATGTTAGGAAGATAGGGACCCACATGCCTTTGTGCTTTGCCAGGGCGTGGGCTGCAGCAGGACAGAGGTTGTTAAGCAGAGCTCGCTAGGGATGCTGAAGGGCCTTGGGAGCTGATGCAGAGCAGGAGTCTAGCCAGATTGAGACTTAAAGATCAGATCAGGTGGTGGAGAGAATCAGAGAGGGCAGGATAGGTATGAAGCATTGGTCTGTATAGTCAAAGCCAGTTGAAGAACCATAGAGTGGTGAGAGCAGCAAGGTGCAATGAAGAATGCAGTGGGAAAGAAGAGACCTGGCAGCCTCGATTCCAGGCATGGTCTGGGAGCCAAGGCTTTCCTTCGCTTCTCTAGGTTCAGTCTCCTCACCTGTAAAATGAGATGTTTAGTCCAGAGCTCTCTAAAGTCTCTTTCAGTAATAACCTCCTAGGGGCTTGCACGTCTGTGAATCATGCTTTCAGTCCTGGTGGATGTTTAGAGATCTAGAGTCACCAACCAATCACTAAGGAAGTGATTCAGAAATTTCAACATTTTCCAGCATTTCAAAAACAATAACAAAATTCTCTTTTCCCCCAAAAGGACCACAAGAGATGATCACTTAAACTGCAGTTTGATGATGGAGTTTGGGAGGAAATATAATAAAAGATGTTATTTGTGGTAAAAAGTTTGAGGAACTAATCAAGTTCATTTCTCTCATTTTGTATCTAAAGAAAATGAGGCCTGGAGAGGAGAAATCATTTGCCAAAGGACACCTAGCAAGTTAGAGGCAGAACAAGAATCAGAAGACTCCAGTTTTCTAATAACCCAGTTCTGAGCTTTTATTACTTCAGCCTCTTTCCCCCCAGGCTCATGTGCCAACATCCCTTATAGAGAACAGGATCTAAGCTTTGGAAAAATGTTCTAGCTTTCATTTCTCTGATAAATAGAAGGCAGGTTTGATCTGGCAACTTTTCCTTCTAGCAGTTCCAGAAACTGGGGCTTAGACTGTGAAGTAACCCAGTAGCACTAGAGGAAGGATGCTGGATTACCCCTGCTGCCAATGTACTGGGGATAGGTCTGTGGGGTGTGTGTGAATGGATTGAGTAGGGAAGTAACCTGTGTTTCCTGTGTGAAGAGCATGGTTTCTGCAGAGACTGAAAGGCAGCTACTTGGAGGAATAGAAAGCGTTATGAATTGAGAATAAAGGAATCTAACTATGAATCTGGCTCAACCATGTGACCTTGGGGAAATGATTTGACTGGGTCTCAGCTTCTTCACTTATAAAATTATGGGGGAGGGGAGCAGAGGATGCTAGATATTTGCCAAAGGCCTTTCAACCCTGACACTGTAAGTATGCATACTTCACCTCTTCCTCATGGAGCTGTTCTGGTTTCTCATAGGTGAAGGGGCTAGTTGAGTTCAGTTCTTAGATGAGTAGTAAGTCCCACAAAGACTGAGTCTGTCTATCCTATATACCAGGACCATCAAAATCTTCCTGAAGAACAGCTTCATTCCTTACCCCCCTGCTCAAACTCTGATTACTTCATACTACCTATAGGAAAAAGATACTGTTTCTTTGCCTGGCATTTAAACTTTCAAGACTTGGCCCATGTTACCTATCCAGCTTCATCACTTGCCATTTCTAGAGATGCAGGTGTTTAGAATTAGAGAACCAAATTTCAATCTCAGCTTCACTTCTTTGCAGCTCTGTGACTTTAGGCAACTTTTGTACCCTCTCTGAGTGTTATGTGTAAAATGAAGATGATAAAGTACCCAGTTCCTCACTTTAATATGAGGCTTCAATGAAATATCATTAAAATTGAGTAGGTACTGAGTGAATGTTAGCTCACTCTCATTTTCTCAGTTAAAGAATATGTTCCTTGAGAATAGAAATTGTACACCTCTTTTATATCCTCAGAGCACAAATTCCTCAACAGAGCAAATGCTCAATAAATATTTTTTGATAGATTGCTGATTTGTCTGTTCTATAAGTTGTCTAGATAAGCTGAAACATTTGTTTCTCTTTTACAGTTTGCCCAGCTGGTGGCCATCTACAAGACATTGGGAGGAGAAAAGTTCCCACTAATTGAGCAGACATACTACCCCAACCACAAAGAGATGGTAGGTGATCAGGTGGGGACTTTAGTCTCTGTTATTTCTACTCTGAACTTATTCACATTATAACTGTGGGGCTCTGAAGAGGGTTTTAGTATCTTAACCCCAGTTGGAGCTGAACTGCAGACCTGCTTTGTGAGGCCAGAGTGGCTGTATTTTAGCTTATAGTCCCTTGTCTCCAATATCTGGAGACAGAATAGGGAAGAGTAGAAACAAGGCATTTTATCAAGCTGAGAAAATAACAAACCTATGGACCAGTAATCAAAAGATCCCACTCTTTGGATTCTAGCCCTGGCCCTGCCACATGTCATTGGACTAGTTAAATTTACTCACTTTGTGTCACTTTCCCAACTGGAAAGTCAATTATTCCTAACCAGGATCTCGAATTTGGTACAAAATTTAAGTAATAGCCTTCTGGGAAAATGTGAAGCATCCCTCAGATGTCAGGTGTTATTCCTGCTATTATTACCAAGGCCTTTCATTCCCTTGGCTTTGTCAAGATTGTGAGAAGACTGGGTTAACATTATGCCTTCTCTGAGGCCATCCTAGGATATCAGAAGGGGCAAAGAGATGGCATGGTTGATTGGTTTTTCCTCCATGGAGACCTGGAGCTCACTTCCTCTTCTTCCCCCTCTATCTCCACACCCTCTGCCCCAGGCCTGCATGGTCAGTTGGTGATCATGCTTAACTCACCAATGGAGACTCTCTGCCATAGCATCCCACTTGTACTCTGGGACAGAGATTATGTTTGTTACCCTCTAACTCCCTTCTCAAAAAGGAACTACATTTGTACCATTTCTGTGAATCAAGAGCATTCTTCTGGCATATTGTGCATGGCCTTGCTTCTCATCAAACAACATATAGAAAACAAATAACAACAACCTTGAACCTTGAATAGAACTACCTCCTTAGAGATAGAGCTTCCCAGGGAGAGGCTCTAGAACTTTAAGCTCTTGTCCTTAATAAATCCTTGAGACCAACATCAGGGCTTAAGAGATCTATGCTTGGAGTTCTCAGGGAGTCCAATACACAGTGGTAAGGGGACTGAGTTGAAGGAAGGATGGGGACCAAAGCTGGATTTTTTTTGCTGTAATATTTAGCGGGGCTAACCACAAAATTTTTTTGAAAAAATTGCAAAGTATATTGTCTATCTACCATCCTTTTCCCCCAAGAGCCCTTGTGTTATTTCTCTCTTGTACTCTATCCTGAAATTTGCCCTCCAAAGAAGACCTCCTGAGATCTCTCTGAGGTGTCAAAATCTAAAGGAGAATTTCAACTTTAGGCTTTCCTGGCTTAAAAAAAAGTTTTGAAGTAGGAATGAAGACATTAGTAATCTAGTAGAGAAGGACTTTCTAAAAGAAACATAAAAGAAGAATTATGGACATCAGGTGAAGGTATTAATGATAGTTAACCTGCAAAGATAATACCTAAGTCTATTCTTATCCAAAGAGGTGTGCTAGGGGGCCAGACCCTCTGCCAGGAATGGGACAGAGGAGATTACAGCGTGTAGTGGGAGGTTAGGCCATTGTAGGTCTCATATTGAGTGATTCTATGCCCTTGCAAGTCACTTCCCCAAACCAATGAAAGTTTAAGAGAGGATCAAGATGAGCTGAGATTGAAGTAGAGGATACACAGCCATACTATGTTGGTCTTTTCATTCTTCCAAATCAGCCTGTTTATGATACTGTCAACCTGTCTTCTGGTGTTGTACATCAGATAGCTACACTATCTCATATGAATAGCATTCACCATTTCTTCACTATTAGATCAATTAAGGTAAGAGAAAATACATTTTCCTAGAGAGAAAAGGGAATCGTTCTGGCCAGAACTATTTTGATTCTAATCCAGAATCAGAACTTTCAGTAACAGGTATTGGCTAGAATAAAAAGGTTTGGGAGGCAGGAGAGAAGGGCTGAGGGCAGGATACTTTCCCTAGCCTTTGACATGTTTGGGCTGGGGTTTCAGACACAAGCTGTAACATACCCTAGCCCTGCTCTAACACTAGCTAGACTGTCCACTTGGTACTTCCCCTTGGCTGGCAGCAATGAGGCAAGTGGTGATAGCCAGAGCTCTGTAGAGAGGAAGAACTGGCTTGGTCTTCAGAACTCCTGAAGGAATGTGGTGGTCATTGTTCTTTACTAGGGCTGGATTATGTCAACAAATTCCTTCCTGAGGGGCAGGCGTCCCTGGTACCAGCTGCAGGTGCCATCAACATGCTTCATGCAGACATAATGCCGGGCCTGGTACCCATAGAGTTTCCGTTCCAACAGCCAGTCTGTCCAGAGGCACTCGTTGGGGGCCGAGATGGTACAGGGCACTGTATAGCAGGTGGTGACCTAGAGTCATAACAACACAACATCAAAGTGAGTAGGGTGTCATTTTTCTACAATTTTTTTTCAGATTCATATACATCCTTACAACCTAGCTCAAATGCCCTTGCCTTATGAAGTCCTTCTTAGTCTCTAAAATTCCCCAAGTTTTCCTTCCCCTTTGTTTCCCACATAGTTTTGCCTCTCTAATGGCATTTCTGGAGTCAGACAAACCTGGGGGTCCTTACTCTACCACTGACCTTGAGCAAATTACTTTCTAGAGCATTCATTTCTTTAAAATGGAAACCTTAATTATTCATATATTTGTTATAAAGACTACATTAAAATATTTAAAATAAATTGACCATTAGAGGGCCTGATAAAGAGTAAATTCTGTTAAAATGGTAGCTATACTATTTCAGTTTGCCTTATATGATGCCACCTTCCTTGTTTGAGATCAGGGACTATGGATCATCTTGCTTTCCCATCTCTAACTTTATACAGTACCTGATCCATGGCAGATCTCAAGTATACTATAGTAAATGAATAAATGCATGCATGAAGGAAGAAGTACCATCAGCAGGTGCCATTAAAGGTGAGGCTGAAAGGCTCAAGACCCTCCCCCCCCAACCCCCCACCAAAGACCTTAGAAATGGACATCCTCTTACTTGGCAGCCACAGTTCAGATGGTAGTGGTGATTCAAACTTTCTTTTTGCAAAAAGGATAGATTCTCCCAGGGCTCAATGTAGTTGCACAGATGAATGAAGACTTTTCCATCATTGAGGACCTGACCTACAAAGGGAGATAGAAGAGAACCCAGCATGAGGAATATGTTTGTGAAATTCCAAAAGCCTGGATCCTTGAAGAGCCCAGAATTGCAACCTCTTTAATGTGTGTTTTTTGTTGTTGTTGTTTTTTGGTTTTTTGTTGTTGTTTTTTGGTGGCAGTGGTGACATAAGACTCAATTAAGGGACCAAAAAAATCTCTACAATCTTTATATCAGAGATTATGTTTGTACAAAGGAAAGTTGTGGGATAAAGGCCTCTTCCTTTAGTGTGATGCAGAGAAAACATGGGCTATAAAGGGAGATTCTTGGTGAAACCCCTTTCTTTTCTGTCATTTACTAGATGTGTGACCTTAAGAAAGTCATGTAACTTCTCAACTGGAAGATGAGAATGATAAGGTTATTGTCAGGATTAAATGAGAGAATATTTGGTAAAGCTTCTGGCACAGTAGTAGGCCCATAGAAGATGCTCAATAAATAACAGGGCCCTTCCCCTTTCTAACGCTTCCCAATATCTACATAGGGCAGTCTTCTGCTCCATTGATACCTATATTGGTATGTCTTTCTCCTTCTCTATGGGAAAGTGCCCCTTCTTTACTTATTAAATGGTTTCCTATCTTCCAAAGACCCTTTTCAGTACCACCTCATCCTCAGAGCCATCCCTAACCATGCTAGCTCACATCTCTTAGAACTTTAGTCATTCATTTACTTACTGAGCAACTACTAGACCTGGTACCATGAATGCAGAAATAAATATGGTAGGATCTTTGATCTCAAGGAGCTTAAAAACAAGTAGGTCAGACAGATAAATAGGCAAAAATTACACTGTTATCTATACTAATAAAAGCCTAGGTGGTCCTTGCGCCCTTGCGCAACACTCTCACATCATCACAAGATAGCCACCCCCATGTCATCACAAGATGGCTGCCACAAGATTGCCGGCAGGGGAGGGCAGTTGTGGGCAATCAGGCCAGCAGGGGAGGGAAGTTGGGGGTGAACAGGCCTGCAAGGGAGGGCAATTGGGGGTGACCAGGCTGGCAGGGGAGGGCAGTTGGGGGCCATCAGGCCGGCAGGGGAGGACAGTTGGGAGCCATCGGGCTGGCAGGGGAGGGTAGTTGGGGGCCATAGGGCCGGCAGGGTAGGGCATTTGGGGGCTATCGGGCTGGCAGGGGAGGGCAATTGGGGGCGATCGCACCAGCAGGGAAGCAGTTAGGCATCAATCAGGCCAGTAGGGGAACAGTTAGGGGGCGATCAGGCTGGCAGGTAGAAGTGGTTAGGGAATCAGGCAGGCAGGTGAGTGGTTAGGAGCCAGCAGTCTCGGATTGTGAGAGGGATGTTTGACTGCTGGTTTAGGCCCAATGCGGGATTGGGCCTAAACAGGCAGTCAGACATCCTCTGAGGGGTCCCACATCTTTTATATAAACACTAGAGGCCCGGTACATGAAATTCGTGCACTGGAGAGGGTGCAGGCTGGGCTGAGGGACACCCCTCCAGTGTACGAATTTCATGCACCGGGCCTCTAGTGTTTATATAAAAGATGCAGTATAAGAACAAAGGAAATCACAATTATCTCTGTCTTTGGAAGGGACAGGGGGCAAGGAAGCTGTCTAAGAGGAGATGATGCTCCTGTTGAGCTTTGAAAGGATGGTTAGTAGTTTACCTGCCAGACAAGTTGGGGGAAAGACTTCTGGACATTGGGACTTCCTGTACAAGGTGGAGGGGCACAGCCCAGCAGAATACCTTCTATAACTGCAAGTAGTTTACTTTGGCTCTGGGGAAAATGAGGGGCTGGAAACTCAGTGATAAGTGGCAGGAGACAAAACTGGGGAGGTCAGCAGTGTTATGGTCACAGAGGACTTTCACCATTAGGCAAAAGAGTTTGTGACTTCTCTTGAAGAGCATGGACATCACTGATGACTTTTCACTAGACCTGTGTTTTGTCATTTATTTTCATCCTTGGTTAGATTTGACCTCCTTGAGGGCAGAAAGCATGCCTCCTGCTTTGACTGATGCACCACAGTGCCTAGCAGTGGGCTAAGCACACAGAGGGTAGGTACTTAGGAAGGAAGGAATGGCCTCATCTGCTAGTCCTGGGATGTGGAGGGCTCAGTGGCATGCTCTGCCGCTGCCTCTCTCATCCAGAGGCTCCCAGATCAGCACAATTCCACATTCTTAGAGCTGGGGAGCCCCTACCAGTGTGTCCTTCAATGCTTATGAGTTCTCAAGAGTCAAGTTTGGACTATGAGCTCTTTGAGGACTATGACTTGTGACTGAGTCTTCACTCTCCTGTCCAAGGCCTGGCAGCAAGTAGGTGGTCATTCATTGCTGAGTGGGTGGACAGATAGTGGAATTTCTCCTTATCTGCTATGTTTTTCTTTTCCTTGCCTTTCTAAGCATTTTTCATCCTTCAGGGCTAATTTAGATCTCACTTACACAATGAAGCTTCCCTAACTGTTTATAAGCACATAAATACCTTCTTCCTGAACTACAAAATACTATAGTATAGCATTCACTCACTTATAGAGTCATAGTTTTATGTGGTTCTTTAATTGTTCTATCCCAACCAATTCAGCATGGAGTTTACCTGCCAGACAAGTTGGGGAAAAGACTTCTGAACATTGGGACTATCCTGTGCAAAGGTGGAAGGGCACAGTCCAGCTGAATACCTTCTATAATTGCAAATAGTTATACCTGGGCCCAAGTTCGTGGAAACAGAACCATGTTAGATTCAAGGCTCCTGTTAGAGTTTGTGCTTTACTCTACCCCCTAATAGGGCCTGGGCTGTGAGTTAGCCACACAGACTCACTATGAGTCAGGAGTATGATCCAGTGTGGCTGTCTAAAGCTAATGCCATCAGAGGCTACAGTAACTATAATGTGTGTGTTGAGGGAGAGGGGATCACACACACAATTTTCCTTTACTATGTGAAATTAAGACTTTTCCTGTGGCGTTGTGTCCAGCTCATTGTCCTGTACTATCACAGGAAAGGGACAGGGACAATATCCCATTGGAGAAGATGGCCAGCAGACCTGAAGTTAGAGTGCTTGCATCTATTGTCCTCAGGCCTCTGATGCATCATCATAGAGCAGAGGGCAGAGCTGAATCCACAAAGAGCAGTTTCAGAGGGGCAGACTTGGGCTCAAGATACCAAAAATCTTATGCCAATTAAAACTGTTTGAAAATGGAACCAGCTACCCTAGGCTGTGAGAGCAACCTGTTCCTAAAATAGTGAAACAGTGGCCAAGGTCACTGTAATGAGTATTCTTCATTGAAAGGGAGATAACCAAGGCCCCTCCTGATTCAGAGGTTGCCTCTTAGTAAGTAACACAGCTCTGTTTCATACCCAAGAACGTGTTAGCTGCTCAGCTTGCTGCCCAAGGGCAGCCATGGCTCCTCCTTGGCTGCCTTCCTTAGGACAGAGACTACTGGGGCCATTTGCTGCTCTTTAACTTACCAGTCAAGAGATACTGCTTCTGGCTGTTTGCTTCTAGTTTCACACCACAGAGGGAGGAATCAAAAGGTGTATAGATATACTGAATATCCTTGACTTTCTCAAACCCTTTAAACATCTGAAAGACAATTACAAAAAAGCAGTATTATATTAGGTCAATGAGTGAACTTTATATTTTAACAGGGAAAATTTGTCATTCTAAAAAAATTTCTCAGTCTAAAGAAATTAAGCAAATGTCTAGTTCAGGATTTGATGCACACAAATGGCCTAACTGGGTCATTTCTCTTTTTAAAAAAACCTTGGTTTATTCCAGTGAGAGGGGAGGTACCTCCAGAAGCCCCATGCACAGGCACCTATAGGGTCACTAGAGGAACATTGAGGGTCTGTCCTGCACTGTCATTCAGATTCTGTGGGCCCTATTCCCAAAATGTCATCCACTTCCACTTTAGCATCGACATCCAGGATCACTGAGCCAGATTGCCTGACCTTTAAGCGCCACCCTTCCCAAAACACACACCCTAACCCTCCCAAAAGCCCAGAAGGTAAAAGTGCTATATTGTTCCCATGTACCTTTATCTGTTTGATTTCATACCGGATCATTTTTTGAGTGTCAGCAGGATCTGCACTGGCAGGAATTACCTTCTCACTGGAGATCTTGGCCCGGATCACTGCATAGGAAGCAAAAGAGGGAACCTTCAACAACCTGTGGGGGTAATTTGGGATCTGGATGGCCTGGGGCCCCTGGAGAATTTTGTAGGAGAATTCTGGATTGTGAGGAGGAGGATATGAGAGAGTAGGGACCTGGAAACTCCTGCGCAGGCAGGCCTATTAGGTCCTACAGTCTCTACACTTTACTTGCTAGTTTTGAGTCTAGCTAGCTCTTAGACCAGGGACTGGGGGTAGGCATCAGGATAGAGGAGGGAGAAGGAGCCCATTGAGGGTAGGTCAGTGTGGTCATCTGTTGATGTAGCCCAACGCCTAAAACAAAGCCTGCCCAGAGTTTTGGTATCTTGAGCCCAAATGTTTATTGAATTAATAAATGATCTGACCCTGCACAGAGGTAGCTCATCTTTTGCCATTTGGTAATTAATCAAAAACTATTCATGAAGTTCTTCCTCTGTGCCTGGCCTAACACTAGGTACCAGGTCATAGATGTGATTAAGACAGGGTCCTCTCTCCTGCAGAACTCTTGGTCTAGTGGAGAACACATTTGCAAACAACAGCATAGTATAGTAGGAGCACAAAAATGTTAAAAATGCCATAGTAGCACCAAGGAGTCAGGAAGGCTTCAGAGAAAAGGGGATACCTGAGTGAGACTTTGAAGAATGAATAGGTGTTTGCCAGGAATTTAAAGATGGGGGGAAGGGCATTCTAGGCAGAGGGAAGAGAAAGGGTAAAAGATGTGTATTGGTGTGAGTGTATGATGGCTCAGTTATATGTAGGCTTGGACACAGGGAGGTTTATAAGGAAAGCCCAACCTCCTGGCGCTGGCTTTCCCCTCCCCCCATCCTGTAGTTCAGAATAATCACAGGATAGTTCCAGTGACTTGTTTAATGACAGTAGGCGGGGGTGAGGGGGCCGCTATGGAGGCCCCTTACACAGTCTTAATTTCCTTACAAGTCAGCCAAGCTCTGCCCCTGCAAGGTTGCTATGGTGCCGGCCTTGCCCATCAACCCCAACCGGAGGCAGCTGGTGCAGGATTTGAGCTCCTCCCATTCCCTCCAGACTACAGGTCTACAGCAATGCCCCGTACTAATCACACAACCACCCCCAGCTGTGTACCTCCCAGGCCTCCGGACTCACCAAGCGAGGAGTGGCAGACATGCTGCTGGGGGTGCGAGGGGGCGCAGCTGCACGCCTCGCCCAGCCCTGGCGGCCGCAGCAATGCCAGCAGCCGCAGCAACAGCGCCCAGCTTGACACGGTCTGGAGGCTCCGGGGCATGACACTGCAGAACCCCAATTAAGCCTGTGGGGTCTGTCGGATCAAACAGACTCTCCAGGGCACTTTCAGAACGCCTCACGCCCCTCGCCCTAGGCTTTATGAGGTGGACCTAGGGCCAATCCCGCCCTGTGGGCTCCGCCCGCCTTTGGCTGTAAGCCACCCGCGGCTACAGGACCCACGGCCCTCCTGACTGGCAGCCTCAATAAAATGAAGAGGGAAGCCAGGAGAAGCCCTTAGCTTCCATTTCTGTGCCTGAGCAATTAAGCCTCCCAGAAGTGGAGGGAAGGCACTGGGAGAGGGGATGGTGTAACGGCAAAAAGAAAGCACAACAAAGACAAATGCAAGAGGCAGAAGACCAAGGGACTGTGATTCAGGCAGAAAGAACAAGAGAGGAGAGGCACAAACAGAAAGAGTGAGACAGGCAGAGTCATCGAGAGGCAGACAGAATTACAACAGGCAAAAGACAGTGACAGAGAAGGACGAACCCCTTGCTGAGCTGCACACTGGGAATGAGACAAGCTTCTCAGGGCTTCTTTCAGCTGCAGGAAGTGTTTTCAATGCCCTATTTAGGAGGCTCCAAAGCAACAGTAAACAGTAATGGAATGAGACAGAGAAAGTTGGGGTGTGTGTGTGTGTGTATGTGTGTGTCTTGGCTCTGTCGGCTGGGGGGTGGGGAGAGATGTCAGAGAAAGCAGCCAGTGCTTTAGAAACCCTTTCCCATACCCAGAGCTTCAGACTGCAGATGGCTGAGGACAGTGCATTTGGTGTGAGTTCAAAGCACAGAGTATCTCATTACCTAGCATAAACCTGGGGCCTCAAAGCCTCTTCAGATAGTAGCCTACTGATTCCTATCTCATGTTGCTACTCACTGGAGAGACCATGTCTTATACAAGGTGGGGGCAAAGGTAGGTTTGGAGAGTAGTTCTTTTAAGTTTTTATTATTTGTCTGTTAAAATACAACTACCTCAAAGTAGAATTTACCCTCATAAGGATCTCTTTCAAATTACAAACGTTGACTTTTTATGTCAACTCTCTTCCAAACCCCAAGCTGGGCAGAAAGAACATACTAGGCCAGTGATGGCGAACCTTTTGAGCTCGGCATGTCAGCATTGTGAAAAACCCTAACTTAACTCTGGTGCCGTGTCACATATAGAAATTTTTTTATATTTGCAACCATAGTGAAACAAAGACATATTTTTGATATTTATTTTATATATTTAAATGCCATTTAACAAAGAAATCAACCAAAAAAATGAGTTCGCGTGTCACCTCTGACACGTGTGTCATGGGTTCGCCATCACTGTACTAGACTGTTTTGTTGGTTGAGCTTGGGGTGTTGGTGAGCAATGAAGAGACTGTGAAATGTGGAGAAAAGACAGGTTCAGGATAGGAAAACTAGATGTTTGAGAGGGAGGGGAGGATACTAAGAGGGACATGACAAAAGGGAATTAGATTCCAAAGATATATTCCTTTTGTAATTATCGTTTACTAGAGTACAATTTGCATACAGTAAAATTCACCCTTTCAAAGATGCATTTTTTCCACCCTAGCCGGTTTTGCTCAGTGGATAGAGCATTGGCCTGTGGACTGAAGGGTCACCTGTTCGATTCCGGTCAAGGGCACATGCTAGGGTTGCGGGCTCCATCCCCAGTAGGGGGCATGCAGGAAGCAGCCGATCAGTGATTCCTTGTCATAATTGATGTTTATCTCTCTCTCTCTCCCTCTCCCTTTCTCTCTGAAATCAATAAAAAACATATTTTAAAAAAGATGCATTTTTTCCAATTCTCCAGTCCTGCCCTGTGTTTGTCTAATGCAGAGAAGATTGAAACAATTCGTTTTAAAGATGTAGAGTACCAAGTAGGAAAACAGAGTTCTTATAGATCTGCCATTAACATGCTGGGACCTTAAGCAAGTTACTGTCACTCTATGGGCCTCGGTTTTTGTATTTGTAAAGCACATAGGTTGGACTAGTTTTTTAAAAGGCCCTTCCAAGGGTGTTCCCAAGAAAAATATTTGTAACATTTCACAGAAAAACAGGCACACTCTGACCAATTCATTCTTTTCTCCTCTGCTTTCAGCTGACATTGCCCACATTCCCTGTGGTGGTGAAGATTGGCCATGCTCACTCAGGCATGGGCAAGGTAAGGCTGGGGCCTGCTGTACTTTGGAATTGAGGCCAAGAAGAGTACTTTTCAGAGAGTCCGGTTATGGACTATTCTCCCTCTGTTATTGATTAATTCTTCCATGATTTGGCTCCTCTGAAACCATGAGTGTTACCCAAACAGGCCTTTTCAACAAGCCGAGTGTAGGCCACCTGCTTGGTCCATTGGGCCTTTTGCAGTAAGTGTAGCTCCTGAGCCTAGGAAGGGAAGCTGGAGAGAGGACTCTCCTAAGATGTGGCACTCAGGCTTGCAACTGGAATGGAAACATCTTGATGGGTTTGGAGGACTTGGATCCTTGTGACTCTCAGTGTGTATATGTGTATGTCTCCTTTTTTCCTCTCTGCCTTGCTCCAAAATTAGGTCAAAGTGGAAAACCACTACGACTTCCAGGACATTGCTAGCGTGGTAGCCCTCACCCAGACCTACGCCACAGCAGAGCCTTTCATTGACGCCAAGTATGACATCCGGGTCCAGAAGATAGGCAACAATTACAAGGCTTACATGTGAGTGGGGTGGGTTCCCAGCAGATACTCTTCACTTTCTCCTCAACTCAGAGGAGAATCCGAGCCTCCACTTAACAGCCAGTACTCAGTTAAACCTCATCTGGCCCACAAGGCAGAGAACAGAGAGAGGGTGCCATTAAGTCAGGGAGTCTTAGCCTGGGTTCCTTTCAAGTCAGGGAGGAGTGAGGGTCCATGAACTAAGATGAGAAATAACATTAATATTTATTTTTATTTGCCTTTAAATGAAATTGAGCATTTTCCCTAGTTATGAATGAAGACAACAGGCTATAGTAGCAGCAGTAGCATGAGTGACTTTGTCACTACAGGTAATCACAGAGGTTCTTGTATTTTTATACAGTTGTGACAGATATCTCTAAATACAATTACTGTTATCACTACTAAAGAATCATGGTAGTTATTGGACCTGCCACTACATTTACCCCTGTAAATATATTTGTTATTTATAAAAAAACATTTTTACTAATCACAGATTTGTTTGTTTAATATTTTGGTAACTATTTTGATAATTACTTTAAATAATTGAATTTTTTATTGTCCTATGTACTTTATTTTATACATTTACACATCTTATATTTTATAATTGAAAGGAATCCACATGCTTCACCAGGCTGCCAGAGCACAGAAAAAGTTAAGAAGCTCCTGATGTAAATATATAGCCTTAGATACAATATAGAGCCATTAAAAGCCTAGTTGTTATGAGAATGATGACTTTTCTACATAACTGTGTCCATTTGCCAAATGGAAAGTTAAAGGTTTCCACTATTAGAATTTAGAAAAAGAAAAGATTTCAAGACTACCAAGTCTTCCATAATATACTAGTACATAAGAATGCAAATGGGTTATAATTCCAGTTTTGGCAATCTTAATCTCCCATTTTTAGAAAAAAAAATTAGGTAGTTTTTTTGTTTGTTTTTTACAAAGACAGAACATTATAGTATATGAATTTGATCTTTGCTACTCATGACTTCAGGTTTGAATAACTTCCCTTTTCTTTATCCATCATTTCCATTTCTCTTCCTTCATTCCTTTTTAGTATTTCTACTTCCCTCCCCTGGAATAGTAAGGAGCCCTTTCCCTGTACTTCCTTCGTATCGCTATAGTTTAGCTCTTTTCACACATGTGATTTGAATCACTCTCCTCTGATCTCTCTGAGCAGAAATGTTAGAATCACCTCTGCAGAACCACTGTCTTATGCAGCAGTAGGTGCATAGTGGGCACCCAATAAGTATTCAGGGAACAACTCTTATAGAGAATTGAGGCATCGAATTTTTTTTTCTTTATTGACTGTATTCCTACTTTTTGAAAGTTTATAATTTTTACTTGTAGTCTTTCTGCTTCAGAAAGGAATTTAGGGTTGCTTTAAAATTATGCACAATGTAAGAAGGGATAATTTAAAATACCATTGTAAAAATACTATCTAAAGCAGAAAATTAATATATTCAGCCAATAAGAAAGCAGATTTCCTATCCTTTAATGTTAAAATCTCCTAAATAAACACAAAATTTTTGACAATGAAGCTAGAGTGTCTTTATCCTTAAAAAGGAGACACACCACATTTTTAAGGGTTAGGGTTTCCAAAAGCAATTTAAATGAAGCATAAGAGAATCCCAACTATTGATAAAGGGTGGGCAACCAGAGCAGCTTTAGAAATTATTTACTTTTTTATTTGCAGGGGACAGACAGTTATTTGGCTCTTCTTCCCCAAACTTTTGGCTATCCCTTTGCTCTCAGAAGAAGGAATTGGCTTGGCAATAGCCAAGATAAAGTTTGAAATTCTTTCCTTCTCCCTCAGTTCTCACCCTAGAAATCCAGGGGCAGACATATTCGGTGTAAAGAAGGTGCTGTTCCTGCCCCACTCTCACTAGGCAATAATTGGGGTCCTTTTGTGGAGGTCAGATGTCCTGCGAGTCTCGGTGTCCCCTTTGTTTCCACATGCCCCAGGTCGCCTGTATGGATCTGTGCCGTGCATCCTGTTATTAGAGAAAGGTGTGAAGTGTAAGGGACATTATTATTGCTCATTCAAAGTTTCTGACAACCCTGTTATCAGAAACTATGTACTATGGCCCTGTTCTAGGGACATGGAAATGAGTAACTCTCTGCCTCTGCCCTTGAGGAACCCAGCCTGTCACAGGGACACACTTGTAAAATACCAGTGTTAGGAAGGCAGTGTTATTTTCATATGATCTGTCTTTGTATTGCTACTCAGATTTTTCAAGACACTCCACTGTGAGTTGCTTGTTTTTTCTGAGCTTGTTTTTTCTGAGTGGGGTGTAGAGGTAAATGTAGCACAATGAGGGAATAAAGAGACCTGGATTTTTATCTTATATCTACTTTGACTAGACATACAATCTTGGACAAGTCTTCCAACCTCTGAGTCTTAATCTCTTTGTAAAGTGGAAGCAAGAATCCCAGCCTATTCACAACAGGGGGCTTGCAATGAGGTTCTGGTGAGGGGCTTGGGAAGGAAGACTCTTGGAAAGCGGTCAGTACTAGGAGTGTGAGGAGTTGTTATTACCACATCACTCAATTCACTGCATCTCAGGGCTCAGAAAACTAGCTGTACTAGGTTTCTCAGTGTTTGAAATCAGATATGTAGGGAGGATACTCCTAGAAACTGCTGAGTGGAGACTCACACATCCAATCTCCAACCAGTAGTGAGTGATAAAGACAGCATAAGAAGGTCCCTATCAGTGGCGTGAGAAGGACTTTTCTGTCCCCTAGACCATCCCCATCCTCTTGACTGTATCTGAGGAAAGATTAATAATTAAAAAATACATATTTTTTGTATGTTACAGTTTATTTAAAATGATAAAACAACTTTATGTTTACACATGGATAACAGAGGCTCAGTTA